AGACCCCCGGCGGCCCCGGGACTCCAGCTCCTCTTCTCCCAATCCCCTCCACCCGGTCGCCCAGGGCATCCAGTCACCAGGCAGGGCCAGGGTCCCGATGCCACCTGGCGCGGCCACCAGCAGACCCCAACCCCGCTCCCCTTCCACGTGGGCGCCTGGTTACCTCTTCTCCAGGCCCACAGCCCCCTCCTCTTGACGGGACAGCGAGCTTCTGAGTTATCGGCAGCCTTATTTCCCTCTACAGCTCCTACGGAGTTAACAGATGTACGCACGTCTGAGGCAGTCATGCGGTAAGAGACTTTGGGGCCAATCCTTCCCGTTTTGACAGTGTGTAATCGAGGTAAAGCCATAAATTTTATAAACAAGAATAAACGACCCTCAGCAACATATGTCTGCTCGACCCTTCCAAGGTGATCGTAAATAAAGGCACCTGCTCGCCGGGGAGGGGTGTGGGCGCTGCAGATGGCCAGAGTCAAGGGCCAGAGGGTCTCTGCCTTGGGAGCATCTGCTGGGGGGAGGAGCCCCCCACCCCAGTCCTGAATGGACTGGACACGTTTCTGCCGTTTATTCAATCTCTTCCCCAGGCTGCCTTTGCCCTGGTGTACCCTGAGCTGGCCTGTGTCTCACCCTTCCTTGGAGAGATCGCTTGAAGCGGGGTCCTCCTGTGTTTATGGTCCCCTCTCCTCCTCCTCAGGGCTTCCCCGGTGGCTCAGTGGTAAAGAAGCTGCCTGTCTAGGCAGGAGACACAGGTTCGATCCCTGGATCGGGAAGATTCCCTGGAGGAGGAAATGGCAACCCACTCCAGTATTCTCACCTGGGAAATCCCCTGGTGGGCTGCAGTCCATGGGGTCCTAGGAGTCAGACACGACTTAGCGGCTCAACAACTTCTCCTCCTCCTCTGCCCAAATTATCACACTCTCTGTCCCAAGAGGAAACTCTCGCGGGAATCTGAAGACTAGCCTTCTTGTCCAGCTCTGCTACTGCCCAGAGGGAGTCCATGGGTGGCGACCCCTTAAAGTTCTCCCTGGCCTGTGACCAGGTCACCTTCCTTTCCACTTTGGCCCTGGTGCTCCTGGGGCCACGTCCCCTGGCCGACCCGGCCCTGCCAGGGGGGCCCTGTCTCCCGCAGGCTCAGGACGTCTAAGCAAACCAGAGATGCTGCTCAGTGGCCCTCTGGGCATCACCTGGGCCTGAGCTATTGGAAGTGCTTTGAAAAAGGATAAACACTTGATTCGACAATAGCTACATTTTTTTTTTTTTTTTTTGAGCTGCAGTCATGTGCCACACCCATGCAGGCCTGTGGGCATATTTCCTGAACCCTTGGAAGCTGGTATCATTATTCCCAAAGATGAAAGTAGGAAAAAAAAAAAAAGAAAGTAGGAGATGGAGGCTCAGAGTAGAGAAGTAGGTTGCAGGATTTTCTCAAGGTGCCTCAGCTTGGAAGTGGCAGAACCAGAACTTGAATTCAAATAGTAACAATCAACTATAATAATAGCAGCTGATGTGTGACAGGGGCACCCTGAGCTGTTTAAACATTGCCTCATTTATCTCTCCCAGTGGCCCTGTGGGGTAGATATGCTTCACATTCCCATTTTACAGATGAAGAAGCAAGTCCCAGGAAGATGGAATGACTGGCCCAGAGTCATGACGCTAGGAAGTGACAGACTGGTCTTGAACCCAGGTCTGCCTGAAGCCTATGCCCGTGCTGAGCGTTTGACTGTTGCTCACACCCCCATGCTCCTTGTCAGACCTCTGGGGCTCCACACAGCTGGCAGCGAGGCCGGTGAAGCAGGCAGCCCCGTGCGTGGATTCGCTCCTGCAGCGGGTGCTATAATGGAGAGCTAAGAGCAAGGGTTCTTCCCTGGGGCTTCCACAGACCTCTTCAGGCTATACACAGACTGTGAACACCCGTGTGTCTGTATCTATCCAGGGAGAAGGTGCACAGAGCCTTCATTTGAAGTTTCTGAATCTGGGGACTTCCCGGGTGGTCCAGTGGTTAAGACTCATTGCTCCCCAATGCAAGAGACCTAGGTTCAATCCCCGCTCAGGGAACTAGATCTCGCATGCCACAGTGAGGATCAAAACTCCTGTGTGCTGCAACTGAGACCCAGCGCAGCCAAATAAATAAATGTTTCAAAGAAGTTTCCGAATCTGTGGATGGGTGAACACCAGGATCACCCCCAAAGTTCCTGGGTACCCCCCTAACCTTCCAAATGCTATGTCCCCAGTCAGCACATCTCCTGTTTCTGTTTGCACCCAAGCACTGTCTCCCACGATGGACTCCCAGAGAAGAAAAGTGACAGGTCAAGGCAAATGAACCCCACACCCCAGCTGGGCTGCAAGGGAGGCCTCGGTCCCCTCTGTAAGCAAGATCAGACCAGCCTGAAGGGAGGGATGAGCCACAAAGCCTCCCAGGAACTGATTTATGTCACGTTCATGTGGAATTTATTACACAAAGGATTTTATTCAATTAAACTTGAAATGCGTCTGGGTTCTTAAAGGTTCAGTAGTGATAACTGGGACAGAGGGATCATAAAACTGGATGGGTTGTCGGAGAAAGGTGTCAGGGCGGGGTGGGGAGGAGATGAGGGTGACATTGCAGCTGACAGGGGGGGATTTGGTACCGGGGACGTTTGTCATTGGGATGTGTTACAAGTTCGGGCTGTGAAAATTACTCGGTGAAAAAAATGCACATTAACAATAGCCATGAAATATCAGTTAAGGGAAACTAGGTTGAGAAATGAGACAGCAGAATCTATTAGCGCCTGACATTGTTCTCGGCGGCCCAGGTCGTGATTAAAATGACTGTCAAGTGGCGGCAGGGGGAGGGGCACCTCCTGGGCCATGTCCTGGGCCCACATCCTGGCCTTGACTCCCTGACACGAGTTGGTTCTCAAGTCTGTTCCCTCCACTGCTAAGAGGACACAGACGGTGCCTCCCTTGGGGCTGCTGGGTGATTTCAACAACATAATGTCGATGGAGCCCCTGGCCTGGGGCCTGGCACATCAAGCCCTTCAGTGATGTCACCCGGAAATGGGCTTCTCGCTGCTGGAATATCCAACCACCTCCAGCCATGGCACTAAATACATTCCTGACAGCTAGACCAGGACCAGCAGGAGGCAGGTGGAGTACTTTCTTGGGTGCAAAATGTATGGAAATGCCTCCAAATCCAGGGAGCAAGAGAAATAATGCTTTCATGCCGTAATTTTTTAAAAATCAAAATTATGCAAAAAAAATCTATGATCGACAGGGTATCACAATTATAAATAAAAATTGCCTGCCTTTTCTCCCCCAACCATTATTACCATGCGATGGAAACAATTGTTTACGAGGGTTGACAGTGGCTGCAAACGGGGTCTGTTTACAGTTGTGTGTTTTGATCGTGGACTTTCGTTAACTTTTCCCACTGGGTTCCAGACCCAGGCGGATCTTTTGAGGAGTGTCTGGGGGATGAACACATTTTTCCTTTCGCTTCTGGCTCCCATGTGGCTGTGTCAGGCACAGGACATGCCTACATCTGCACGTTTCTCAGGGGTGTTTCTTTCTTCAAGTGTCTGTTTCTTGGAGATGTTCATAATGGAAGGGACGGTGTGGAGTGGTCGGGACTTGGGAACCTGGGGCTACCATCTGGCCTAAGACAGCCCTTCCAGCAAGGGCTGGTGGGGCGGGGATTTGGCTACAGGCAAAAGGCCTTATTTCAAAGATCAGCCCTTGAGGACGCTATCTACTCAAACCACTTGTCTTCTCCTTTGTAGGATGGTCTACCATGGCAGGGAGTGCAGGGCTGTTGTTTTATTATGTACAACCTGCTCCTTCTTGGATGATGCTAAGGTGCAGGAAGGATCGAGTGACTTAATGGATTCTAGGAGCTCCTAGAACATACCCCTCCCCAGCCCAGCCTGAGTGCCCACCCGCTCAGCCACACACTGCCTTTAGCCTGTTCGGTACCATTCTCAGCTCTGTTCACACTGGCCCAGCCGCCTGCTGTGCACCAGACCTGGTGCCGACCGCTGGTCGGGGCCACTTCCTGGAGGGTTTTCGCTGTCACTCACGGTCACCTGCACCTTACCCACTTTGCCCAAGTCCAGGTATAACAGGACCCAGAGGGGAGGAGATATGATGTTCCTTCCAGCAAAATGAGCAGGCAAGTTGGTTAAGAATGAAAGCAGAGGCAAGCACAAAACTCATCATTTTACTGTTTGCTGACTTGCTGGCAAGGATGGCCGGAGGGACCTGCCTTCCCGCGCTTCATGCTAATGACCGATGGCCGGATGGAGTTCACTGGACCTTTCCGCCCTGACTGTGAGAGCCGGTCCCCCCCCAACTCGTTTCCTGCAATTAGCGGTGTGGAACCTTCAGGATCTCAGGGCTGCTGCCTCGCCCTTCATAAATACCTCCCTTCCCAAGGACACAGCTGGCGCGGGCAGTGTCGCTTCATAGCGGGAGGGAGCCGCGGTGACAACTGAAATAAAATACAGCCGTGGTCTGGATCTCAGAGGCATAAACCAGCCAAGTGCAGTATCAGAGAAGTTGGTCTGGTCTGTGTCAGCCTCGCTGGAACCGTAAGAGCTTATTCTCTGAAGCTGAAGGCACTCCACCTCTGGCCCCTGGATGCTGCCGCCCCGGGCAGGGCACGCCCCCCTCAACGCGGCGGTGTCCCCCTCTTGCGGGGGTCTCTGGCCCCGATGGAGGGAGACTCCCCTTGAGAGAGGATTCCCCAGGTCGCACCCCCCGCCACGCACACACACAAGTCCAAGTGTTCCCAAGGCCTTGCCTGCCAGTCTGCAGCCATCCTCCGCCTGTGATGAGTGGCTCAGAGGTGACTAAGCTCCAAATCCTGTCTGCCTTCCCCTTTATAAATGTGACATTTAAAGCCCCTTTGGCACAGGTAAATCACAATTACATTTTCAAGGGCCTCTGGTACCATTCCAGATCCTCAGACAGCCAGAGTTGCCAGTGGAAGGCCTCGCTCTGTCTCACACACACACACACACACAAGGCACGCCTTTCCCACTTTTATTCTTTTTTTCTGCTTGGTTCCTCAATGAAGCAATCACTTTATCTTTCTTTCCTGCAACAGCGAGTTCATTCCCATTTCCTGGAAGACCGAGGAGAACCCAGGGGAAGAGGGTAGGATTCTCCACCAACCACAGCTCCCAAAGGAAGTGGCAGGGCTGTGACAGGAAGCCGGGTCTGGACAGAAGACCAGCTTCTGGCCCCTGTGGGTGAGATTTTCAGGGATCAGGACGTGAGGGTGAAGTCTTCCCTTCACCATTGTCACTTCCATTCTTTCCCAGAGTCTCAGGTGCGATTTGACAGGTCATTTTTCTTGTATATCTTTTCTGGATTCCCTTCCTTCATGGCTGTGTATCTGGCTAATGTGAAGAGATAGTCGCTTGTGGTCGTTACTCCCCAGTGTGCCTAAGTTTTCCGACAGGCTTTTCAGATTCCCATCTGAGTACCTATTTAAGAACTTGGCCACGTTTGCATCAGTCTCACCCATCTGGACAAGAGGCACCACGCTAGAAGAGGAGGAAACACAGCGTCACACTGTTGTTATGGGCTCAACACGCTCGGGGCCCGGGGCTGTGTCCCGAGCCAGCATCTCCCTCCCACTGCAGCCTGACCGGGCATCCTTGCCAGTCTGTGAGCAGACATTCTAGAAGATGCTCATTGGAGATGAGGGCCAATGACATGGCAGCCCCTCCGGGCCCGTCGCCTCTGCTGCATAACCCCTGCTGGGAGGTGCTCACCCCAAACCGAGGCCCAGGTTTATGTCCCCGCCACAGGGGCTTCATCACCCAGACATGGGTTTGGTGTCCTGAGGACCCTCCTCTGCTCAGCCAGTCCCCGTTGTTGGACCTTTCTTTGGACTATCTTCACGTTTTTGCTACTAGGAGCACTGCTGACGTGGATGACTCTGTGCAAATGACTCTTTTTTTTCCTTCTGAAGCTGAAGCTCTTCTGTGACCCAGTGTCCCTTTACGAACCACTTGGGTCCAAGAGCCTTTCAAGAGAAGTGAAACCTTCATGACATGGGGCCGTGGACAGAGCTCAGGTTTGGGGCAGACACACCTGGGCTCCAGTCTGAGCTCTGCCATGGACCACCCGGGGACCCTGGCCACGGTGTCACCTCTGAGCCCCAATTTCCTGACCCCGGCAGAGTGGGGACTGCCACCACCTCTCTTCCAAGCTTACCACAAGGAATCAATGAAATAATGAATACAAAGTGCCCAGCACGGCCTCGTCTGTTGTATACAGATGCTTTATTGTCTTTCTTGTCATTTTTCTGTAAAGCTGAGTGGCAGCCTGGCTTATGAATTGTGTTAAATGGAGATTTTGCACAATCACTCTTTTATTTATTTCAATATTTATTTGACTGTGCTGGGTTTTAGATGGGATCTTTGTTGTGGCACGCAGGATCTTTTTTTTTTTTAGTATTTATTTATTTTGCTGCCCTGGGTCTTAACTTGTGGCAGGTGGGATCTTTCTAGTGGTGGCATGTGAACTCTTAGTTGCGGCATGTGGTATCTAGTTCCCTGACCCGGAATCGAACCCGGGCCCCCTGCGTTGGGAACGTGGAGTCTTAGCTACTGGACCCTCAAGGAAGTCCCTGCAATTGCTCTTTTAATGTTTCCTTGATAAGGCTGTCAGCAGCTTCTGGGAGGTTCCCTCCTCTCTGATCGGAATTTGGGGATGGGGGCAGCTGGTGGCTAGCTGGCCCGGGCCCTTCCCCACCCAGCACCCAGTAGTCACCCCATGGCCAAGAGCCGGTCATCAGCTTTCAGGATAAAGGCAGAGCCCTTGGTGCAGGAGGCCCTGCCTGGCCTGGCCTGGGCTCAGCCTCCGGCCTCACTGTGCCCCATGCCCCTCACTCTGGACCAGACCTCCGGCCTCCTTTCTGTGTGTTCAGTGTAGACTGCTCCTCTGCCCTTGCTGTCCCCTTGCCCTGGACACTCTGCCCACCATTCTCCCCCACTCACTACTGCCCCCCCATGCCCAGCTGCAGGCTGGGTCACCCTGGGGCCAAGCACCCTCCGTCACAGCTGTCATCATGCTGTCGAGCTTTTCTATCTTTCCATTTAAATTAACCTGAAGAACGGGGAGCCTTCACTGAAGACGCATCTGAATTTCACACCACCTGAGTGGTATTATCATTATGATTAATCAACTAGACCTGCTGGGCCTCCCTGCCCCCCATTGCTGGAGCTGTCTGCTTCAGCTCCAGCTCTGATCTCACCAGGGACCACTGTGTCCCCCCCACCGAGGTCCCGCTCCCAGGCACCCCGTACCGTCTCTCGGCTCGGCGACATATGGCCCGACAGAAGTGCAGTGCGGCACTGTTCTTGCCTCCTGACTGAAAGAAGAAAGCGGGTGTTGGCTGGGGTGGGGGTGTGGTTGAGGGGGTTGGGGGATGCCCATTGCAGACAGGGAGCTCATATGGACTGACGGACATGCAGGCTCACCCCCCCGCCAACACAACCCAGGGCAGTGTTCTGCCTCCAGGCCCTACTGGGGCGTAGTCTCCGGGTGTTGTCACTCAGTCGTGTCCGACTCTTTATGACCCCATGGACTGCAGCCCGCCAGGCTCCTCTGTCCATGGGATTCTCCAGGCAAGAATACTGGGGTGGGTTGCCATGCCCTTCTCCAGGGGATCTTCCCAACCCAGGGATTAAACCCGGGTCTCCTACACTGCAGGCAGATTCTTTACTGTCTGAGCCTCAAGGGAAGCCTCTGGGTACCCCCCTCTAAGGCAGGCAGGGGTGGGAATGGGACCAGTGAGGGTCTGGAGGGGACTTGGGGGCTGGGGGACAGCTTCTGTCACCGTTACACATTAAAGAGGGGGACTTCGTCACTGCCGGTGTGTTGGGGTCAACACACGCACCCACAGCCACCCTGCAGGCTGAGGCGGCCGGGTACCTACAGGCAGGATGAAAGCGGTGAGCGGGGGCAGCTGGCGAGAGTATCTGTCGATCCACTGCTCCAGCTCCAGGATGGGCCCCGCCTCGAACGTGGCGTGTTCTGCGGAGCCAAGGAGCCCAGCACTGCGTGAGGCCACGGCCCCGGGATCACAAGGAGCCCGCCCCGGTCTCTTTCCATCCAGGTGCCCCGCAAACCACACCACTGGCTCAGAGGCACCTTCCCTCTCAGGCTGCAAGGCCAGGGGTCCCAGGTGCGCCCCAGGAGAGGGTTCCCCGGGCATCCACAGGGCCCTCTGGGCGCACACCCAGTGCATTCAGGGAGAGATTTACTTAAGTGAGCCTCCCTGGCTGAGGAGCGCGGAGTCGCCAGGGCAGAGCCGACGTCCTGCAGGGAGCACTGGATCTGGGGGAGGAAAGGAAGGCGCGGTTGAGAACCTTGTCAAGTCGGCCACGCGAGGTCCCCTGCGTCCATGCACAGGACCTGGGGGGGGCAGCTGGGGCTCTGGACAAGAGCCCTCAGATCCTCAGACTGCTAAGGAGCCGGCATCTAAAGGCTATTAGCAAGCTGTCTGAATCCGCAGAACATCTGCCCTGCTTGGCAGGGGACCTGGCTCTCTTGGGGACATCTGGGTGATACAGACAGTNCAAGAGCCCTCAGATCCTCAGACTGCTAAGGAGCCGGCATCTAAAGGCTATTAGCAAGCTGTCTGAATCCGCAGAACATCTGCCCTGCTTGGCAGGGGACCTGGCTCTCTTGGGGACATCTGGGTGATACAGACAGTGAGTGTTAAGGGCCCCGGGGTGGTTAGGAAGAATCCTCTTGCCCGACCCTCCTCTCCCATGTGCAGGGGCCCTGTGAGGTCTTTTTCTTTTCTCTAACCTAACAGCCTTGGTTTTCTAACCTATAACACCTGGGCTGAGAGACCCAAGGTGGCAGTGCTTTTTATTTTATTTTGATCTATATCCTTCCTTTTCAATAATTTATTTTTGGCTGCGCTGGATCTTTGCTGCTGAGTGGGCTTTTCTCGAGTTGTGGCGAGTGGGGGCTACCCTCTAGTGGCAGGGTCTGGGCTTCTCATTGCCGTGGCTTCTCTTGTTGCGGAGCATGGGCTCTAGGGCTCGGGTTTCAGTAGTTGCGGCACACAGGCTCTAGAATGCAGGCTCAATAAGTTGTGGTGCATGGGCTTAGTTGCTCTGCGGCATGTGGCATCTTCCCGGATCAGGGATCGAACCTATGTCTCTGGCATCGGCAGGCAGATTCTTTACCACTGAGCCACCAGGAAAGCCTGACAGTGCTTTTTCAACTAGACAGGACAGATCTGCCCTCTGATGAGAAGGCCACCATGGCAATGTGCTGGAAGCAGGACAGAGCTCCTTGGGCCACCAGGCTGCAGACTCTGCTTGAGTTATGTGACCATGTGGCGTCTCCATGGCTTCCGGCTTCCGGCTGAAAGTGACCTCACAGTCCCATCCTGCAGCTGGCCACCTGCAGCGTTCACCCTGGGTCTGGAGAGAGGTGACCGCCACCTGGGAATTGGATCCTAGCCCCGCTGGGATTCCTGGCTGCAGGGCCTTGGCCTGAGCCTCACTTTTGTCCTCTGTAAGATGTGAAAGCTGGCCTCCACCTCATGGACAGGGAGAGCTGGGAACAGGCTGCCGGGCCTTCTACAGGCCCTGGGGCAACCTAGGAGAACAAGTCACAGTCCACACCCTTGGGGATCCCATGGCCATATGCCTGGTGATTCTTATCTGTGGTAGCTCAGATGGTAAAGTGTCTGCCTGCAATGTGGGAGACCTGAGTTCGATCCCTGGGTTGGGAAGATCCCTAAGTTGGGAGGATCCTCTGGAGAAGGAACTGACAACCCACTCCAGTTTTCTTGCCTGGAAGATCCCATGGACGGTGAAGGCTGGCGGGCTACAGTCAATGGGGTCACAAAGAGTCGGAAAGGACTGAGCGACTAACACTTTCACTTTCACTTGAGACCAGAAGCCCAGGAGCTGTGGGAGCCTGGGAGAGGCACTGTTGGAGGCGGGGGTGGCCTGAACAGCCCTGGAGAAGATGATGTCAAAACTGTCACTAAAAGTATGCGGCCTAAAGTAAGGGGGGCTCATCGTGTCACTGCATCCCCCTGCCCCCAGGCAAACCCTGCTCAGAGGTGGGCACAGCAGACCAGAAACGACCGCTGTGGGCGCCAACCGTTCCTCATGATGAGGCTTAAGACCAGCCTCCCTCACGCAGGAGGTGCCGCATTCATAGAATGTTCCAGCTGTTTAGGCCTCCCAACCTTGGGCAGCCCCTCACTGCCCTGTGTCTGCCCCCAGGGGCCCCTGCGTGCTCCGGTCTGGCCTGGAGGACCGAAGCGGGCCGAGGGCTCACCCCCCAGGGCCAGCAGACTCAGGTCAGCACGCAGACAGAAACCCGGGGTGTGTCCTCCGTGCTCTAGGGGTGGCGGCCCTGCCTCCGTTTCTGAAGTCCTCTCTGAGGGCCAAAGCCTGGCTGCCTCTTAAGGAACAGGGCCGTCATCCTAAGAACCCTACTGTCCCCCCACCAAGGGCTCCCCGCAGCTGGGCCTCCTGTTCGATCCCTGGGTTGGGAAGATCCCTAAGTTGGGAGGATCCTCTGGAGAAGGAACTGACAACCCACTCCAGTTTTCTTGCCTGGAAGATCCCATGGACGGTGAAGGCTGGCGGGCTACAGTCAATGGGGTCACAAAGAGTCGGAAAGGACTGAGCGACTAACACTTTCACTTTCACTTGAGACCAGAAGCCCAGGAGCTGTGGGAGCCTGGGAGAGGCACTGTTGGAGGTGGGGGTGGCCTGAACAGCCCTGGAGAAGATGATGTCAAAACTGTCACTAAAAGTATGCGGCCTAAAGTAAGGGGGGCTCATCGTGTCACTGCATCCCCCTGCCCCCAGGCAAACCCTGCTCAGAGGTGGGCACAGCAGACCAGAAACGACCGCTGTGGGCGCCAACCGTTCCTCATGATGAGGCTTAAGACCAGCCTCCCTCACGCAGGAGGTGCCGCATTCATAGAATGTTCCAGCTGTTTAGGCCTCCCAACCTTGGGCAGTCCCTCACTGCCCTGTGTCTGCCCCCAGGGGCCCCTGCGTGCTCCGGTCTGGCCTGGAGGACCGGAGCGGGCTGAGGGCTGACCCCCCAGGGCCAGCAGACTCAGGTCAGCATGCAGACGGAAACCCGGGGTGTGTCCTCCGTGCTCTAGGGGTGGCGGCCCTGCCTCCGTTTCTGAAGTCCTCTCTGAGGGCCAAAGCCTGGCTGCCTCTTAAGGAACAGGGCCGTCATCCTAAGAACCCTACTGTCCCCCCACCAAGGGCTCCCCGCAGCTGGGCCTCCTGGGGTTCTCAACCTCACAGCCACTGACACTTTGGCCCAGGTCATCCTCTGGGGTGGGGGTGCGGGGTCGGGGGTGTCCTGTGCGTTGTAGGACATTTAGCTGTTTCTCTGCCTCTACCCACTAGACCCCAACAGCACTTCCACCTCCAGTTGTGATGACCAAAAACATCTCTGGACATTGCCCCATGTCCTGGGCTGAGACCACTGACCTCACATTTCCCTCTCTGAGAGAGAGCCTCACTCACCTGTGAGGGAGGGTGATCTCTGTGTGTTCCTATCTTACAGATGAAGAAACTGAGGCTCACAGAGGGAAAGTGACTAGTCCCAGGTGACACAGAGAAGAAGTGATGGTCAGATGACAATTCCAGTTACGGCCACCAGGCCTCGGGGTGGAAAATTCCCAGCTCCCAGTAAGACAATGTTACTCACTTTCTGAAGCTCTTCCACAAACGGGTGGCCCTTCTCTGCAATTAATTCCATAGCAAACCTACGAGGAAAATGGAAAAAGAATTTGCCTTGAATATAACATCCCTAGGCCCCGTCTTGAGTGTTAGTTGCTCCATCTTTCAGATCTGTAGCTCACCAGGCTGCTCTGTCCATGGAATTCTCCAAGCAAGAATACTGGAGTGGGTAGAGATTCCCTTCTCCAGGGGATCTTCCCCATCTAGGGATCGAACCCAGGTCTCTCACACAGCAGGCAGATACTTTATCATCTGAGCCACCAGGGAAGCCCTGTCTTGCTGGAAGGTAATACCTTCTCAGGTGACAGACCATTTTGCTAACTGAGCTATCACGAGAAAGGGTTTTGTTGTTGTTGTTGTTGTTGACAATGTTTTTAAAACACCATAACCTTACATATGATTGGGGGTATCTGTTTTTCATATCACTCATCCAGCCAACAACTCTTCTTTCAGTGCCTTCTCTGACCAGGCCTAGGTGATCCATATGAACAGAGGTGACACAGGCAGAAGAATCCACAGCTGAGGTTTGGCCGGGCCCCTGACCCACGTCACCGAAGGGATGATGGGCTGCTGATTGGCTAATTCCAAACAAGCAGTGATGCTAGAACCTGCCCTCCCGGCCCTCTGCCTGCTTCATCTTGGGTCTATTGTGTCTACCTCTCCTTTCCCACACTCTTCCCACACACACCAAGGGGTCTGCCCTCTACTCTGCTGGCAGTCTAGTTCCACCTCCCATTATCCATCCTGAAAACCTTATTTAGTCAGGCTTGTCATTGAGAACTGACAGCCCTGAACAAGTAGCTCTTAATAATTAATAATAATGATGATAATAATAATAGCTAGCATTATAATTAGTGCTAGCTACCTGGCACTAAGTGGGGAACATGGAATTCTCTCATTCCATCCTCACAAGAACCCAATGAGATTGGATACTTTTACTATGATCATTTGACAGAACAGAAAACTGAGGCTCAGAGAGGCCAGGTGATTTGCCTGAAGTCACACAGCCAGTCGGCAGTGTGACAGAATTTGAACCCATGTCATTGATTTCTCGGAGAAGGAAATGGCAACCCACTCCAGTGTTCTTGCCTGGAGAATCCCAGGGACGGGGGAGCCTGGTGGGCTGCTGTCTATGGGGTCGCACGGAGTCGAACAGGACTGAAGCGACTTAGCAGCAGCAGCAGCATTGATTTCTACTGTTGCCTTAGAAATGTATTATAAGTGAAACTTGCTCAGTCGTGTCTGACTCTTTGTGACTCCATGGACTGTAGCCGGCCAGGCTCCTCTGTCCATGGGATTCTCCAGGCAAGAATGCTGGAATGGGTTGCCACTTCCTTCTCCAGGGGCTCTTCCCAACCCAGGCATTGAACCAGGGTCTTCTGCATTGCAGGCAGACTCTTTACCATCTGAGCCACCAGGGAAGTCCTTCACACTATGATCATTTGACAGAACAAGAAACTGAGGCTCAGAAAGACCAGGTGATCAGCCTGAAGTCACACAGCCAGTTTGTAGCATGTGGGATCTAGTTCCCTGATCAGGGATTGGACCCTGGTCCCCTGCATTGAGAGTGCAGTCTTAGCCACTGGACCACCAGGGAAGTCCTTCACACTATGATCATTTGACAGAACAAGAAACTGAGGCTCAGAAAGACCAGGTGATCAGCCTGAAGTCACACAGCCAGTCGGAAGGGTGAGAGAATCTGAACGCAGGTCCACCTGATCACCATGGCCTTCACCCCCAAGGCCACACCACTGACAGTAACCACAGCGCACACTGCCAACAGCCTCCTAGGTGTCTTGTGCTTTGTTCTCTAATATTTGCTGCCCCTCCCAGCCCCGCCGCTGGCACGTACGTCCACGTGCCTGGCTCTGGCCAGTGAAACATGAGCAGAGATGGCACGTCACGTCGTGGGAGCCTTAAGAGCCAGCACGGGCACTGCCTTGACCTCTCTTCCCTCTGCCGTGATTACTGGCCAGCGCCAGTAATCGTGCTCCAGACAGAAGCTGTCCTGCCAGCCTGAGTCCCAGAGCGAAGGCCATGCAGAGAAACACACCCAACCCAGGATGGGCGTGAAATAAGAGGATGAAATATCCCTTTGGTGGTGTTAAGTCACGAGATGTGGGCACTGTTACCCCAGCAAGGCCTGGCCGATCCTGACGACTTCCCCAAGCCCACCTTCTAAGTCGTGAGCACAGTGAGGGAGCAGGGAGGGAAGGTGAGGCAGGGCACACAGCCAGGGACAGAAGGCAGCACACAAGCCAACGGGAAGGGCATCCGCAGCCCGCAGTCTAGTGGAGCTGACTGGCTGCCCCTGTGCCTCCAGGCCGAGGAAGGTGCATTGAGGGCAAGCAGCCTCCGGGACTGGCTCTGGAGGGCCGCACCTCAGTCGCGTCTGCTAATGACCCACTCATACTCAACCTCAGGTTCAGCCTTACCCGATGGCTGAGCTTAACTCATCTGTAGTTCCCACGGCTTCAAACACCTGGTCGTCTTTGGGTCTTCTTTCTCCAGTGAAGGTGCTAGAAAATCCTGTGAAAAATATTTTGCTTCCCAAATTAAAGAATTTTTTTTTTTACCTTGACATACTCTCCCGTCCCCCAATATTTATTGATTTATTTGGCGGCACTGAGTCTTAGTTGTAGCATGTGGGATCTAGTTCCCTGATCAGGGATTGGACCCTGGTCCCCTGCATTGAGAGTGCAGTCTTAGCCACTGGACCACCAGGGAAGTCCCCTGTTCTGACAGATTTTAAATGATCAAAACAATATATGCTCATTACAAAAGACAACAGGATAGGATAAAAGTATGTACAGCAAACAATGAAAGCCTGCCTGTTCATTCCTCTCTCTCACTATTCAATCTCTCTCCCAGGTAACGGTCCAAGGTATAACCTTTCACACTGCCTTTCTGAACACACATATAAACACACACACACACACATACTTTCATCCAATGTATCCCAACTCTGGATTGTTCTGCAACTTGCTTTTGTCATTTAATTTATCTTAGGCATCTTTCGTTTCGCATCACCCTTGGGTGATACCTACTGAGATCTGTCGCATACTTTTGAATGTCTGCAAAGAATATGGAAGAACTTTAAGACGGAAGCTTCCATCTCTTACTTTGCATTTTTCACCGGTCCCCACTATACCTTTGTCTCCTGTTTTGGTGTAGATCTTGGGGACCTTGGGAGTCTTCAAGGAAGGCTGTGTCCTAAGGAGAAATACACATCAAAAGAGGGTGAGTGAGGATGGATGGCATATCCAGTGAGACACCTTCTTCAGTGGGTGACTTTGCTACCTGTACCTTTAGTGTGAGAACTTACCCCTTCAGCTTGGGTCTCTTGAAATCTTTCCCCTCTGTTCCTCTTAGTTTTAAGCCCTTTGTGGGCCAGTTCTGTCTCTTGTCACACCTGTACCTGCAGAGTAGCTGATGTACTACATTGCTTAATGAAGACACTCAATAAATATTTGCTGAAAGAATTTATTGGTCACTTTCCTAGTCTCTGCACTGTGCTAAGTGAATTACTGGCATTATCTCCTGGTATTATCCCTGGAATCTTCCCAAGCCCCAAAGGGAGGCACCATCTATGATGTTCATTTTATGTTTGAGGAATCTGTAGCTCATAGGATGAGACTCACCTTTCTAGGTCACCCAGGGAAGAAGTAGTAGGGCTGGATTCTGGCCCAAGACTTATTCCACAACCCCAAACCATCACTTCTATTCTACCAAGCCAGGAACTCTCTTTTTAAAAAATATTTACTTTTATTTATTTGGCTGCACTGGATCTTTAGTTGGGCACGTGGTTTCTTTCATCTTCATTGTAGCATGTGGAATCTTTAGTTGCAGTATGTGGGATCTAGGGATGGAACCCAGGCCCCCTGCATTGGGAGATTTGTCTCAGCTACTGGTAAAGAATCCGCCTGCAATGCCAGAAACCTGGGTTCAATCCCAGGGTTGGGAAGATCCCTTGGAGAAGGAAAAGGTTACCCACTCCAGCAGTCTGGCCTGGAGAATTCCATGGACTACATAGTCCATGGGGTCACAAAGAGTCAGACACGACTGAGTGACTTTCACTTTCACTGGAAAACCAGGGAAGTCCCAAGCCAAGGGCTCTTGAAAGGGGGGAAAAAAAAACCCAAAACCCTTCATACTATGAAGTTTCAAGTATACTCTGAAATGGAGAATTGCCAAAATAGGGTCCAAGGCAGGTATTTTCAAATAGCAACACCTTTAATACAGACTTCAACATTAAAATGTGACAATTAAATGGTTATTCAGAGGTTGAATTACTGGATCTATAAAACATATTAATCCAGTACTAAGTCAGGTTCTGAGGTCCGGGATGGGGTGCAAGTTTCAAGGTATGTGATGAGAGCCATCTTTACATCACGCTGGTGTCTCTCTGTGTCTTGACTTCTTTGCAGACAGATTAAGATCCGAATTGAGGACCCCTCCTGATTGTGAGGTCAGGCAAGATGACCCTCCTGGTTCACGTGGGCTATGCCCGGTCCTGATGGATGCTGGATTTCGTTTGGACTTGTCTCGTGCTAAGAAATCTTGGTCTCTGGTTTCCCCGGAGCCCACGTTGCCATGGTGACGTCAGGATTAAAGAGGACGTCACCTGGCGATTGCTGCGGTGACCTCCCAGTGGTGTGACATAAACACCGACAACAACTCAGGTCAGGTGTCTGAGTTAACTTCTCAGCCAGGTACTCACCTGTCCCCGTCTTCCACGCCCTGGGGGCCGCGGCTCTGGAAACGGGGACACAATAGCTTGCGGGCTCCAAGGCACCCGCGCAAGCCAAGGCGACCTCCCGGGCCCCACACAGCCATGCCCCAGGCCTGTTATCAAGGGCTGACCCCGCCAGCTTCCCGTCCAGGTTCCGAGGTGACTCCACCTACCGCCGGCCGCGCCACCGCTCAGCCGCCGTCTTCTATTGGTCCGTGGCTCTCTCCCCAGGGCGGGACACTCCCAGGGACTTGCTTCCCGTTGGTCCACGGAAGGAGTTGGGCGGGGAAACCCGTGAAGACTTGGTAAACAAGAGCTATTGGCCAATGCTCAAGCCAATTGGTAAAGGGAACTCTCGGCTCGCGCGCTCTGATTGGCTTGGCGGAAGGAAGAAGCCGCCTCTCCTCCTTAACCCGCGAGCTCGGGTATGGAGTCCTGGAGCTTCTCGGCTTTGGGAGCAGAGCACCTGAGGCGACAGGTGAGAGAGGTTGGGGTTGCGAGGCGGGGTGGCGCGAAGTTCGAGGCCGAGACCCAGAACGACCCCGGACTGGGCTCCCGGCCTCTCAGCCTCAGTCTCCTCAGCTCTGAGAATCCGTCCTCGGGAGCCGGCGACCTGGAAACTGACAGGATTTTGAATCTCGGACAAGCAGTAGGTCTCCTCACTCCGAGCCTGAGTTTCTCTGCCCTGAGGAACTGAGGTCACAATAGCACTTAGCTCATAGCTCGGTTCAGGTCTCACGCTATTGAAGTAAAGCCTTAAATAGATAGTTTTTTTTCTTTTCTGTTTTTTAAGTCGCTCAATCGTGTCCGACCCTTTGCGACCCCATGGACTGTAGCCTGCCAGGCTCCTCTATCCATGGGATTCTCCAGGGAAGAATACTGGAGTGGGTAGCCAGTCCGTTCTCTGGGGGATCTTCCTGACCCAGGGATCGAACCCAGGTCTCTTGCATTCAGGCGCATTCCTTAACGCCTGAGCCATGAGGTAGCTTTGCATTATTTATAAAAATCTAAAATGTGCACACGCACACCCAGCAAGTCACTTTTTAGGACTCTGTCTTGCAGAGATCCTGACTTAAGTGTGCAAAAAAAGGGGGTGGTGGTGAGGAGGTGTAACAGCTGTTTTTCGGCAGCTTGTTTCTAATTGCCAAGCGTTAGAAACAGCCTGAAAATGCCCAAGAAAAAATTTGTTTCCAGTCCATGATTTCATTTAAATTTCTGCTTTTAGTAGTAGTAATAATAAAAGCTGGTACCAAAAACAGGGTCAGTAATAAAGAGCTATCAGTTAACTGACTGTGGTGTGCCAGACACTGCTAAGTGTTTTGCTTGTGTTATTTACTTTAACTTTCTCAAAGCCCATTGAGGTAAATAGTTACTGTCCCTATGTAACTTTTAAGGTTCGTGGCTATTTGATGGCTATGTGGCTAGCTAAGATGACATCACTGGGGAGCAGTGGGTTCGAACCCAGATTTTTTGGTATGTTAGGCTGATTGCTGCTCTGTACTGCTTTGGCGGCACATAGCAAGTGTTGAATGTAGCTGCCTTTTTTGTTATCATGGGGTGCTTGAATTAGGCATTCTCTGAGGTCTGGGGACCTTCCATCCTCTCTCTGTCTTTCCTTTTCAGGACTTCCAGGAGCCATGTCGTCAGAAGTCCTGCTGGTGTCCGCTCCAGGGAAAGTCATTCTGCATGGAGAGCATGCCGTGGTCCATGGCAAGGTACAAGGCCCCCTGAGCCTTTGAGGGTTGGGAACTGCTGCTCCTGGACACTAATCTTTTCTCTTTCTTAAATTTATTTTTGGCTGCTCTGGGTCTTTGTTGCTGCGTGAGGGCTGTCTTTAGTTGCAGCAAGTGCAGGCTTCTCATTGCGGTGGCTTCTTTTATTGTGGAGCACAGGCTGTAGACAAGCTGGCTTCAGTAGTCGTGGTTTGTGGGCTCAGTAGTTGCAGCTCTCAGGGGCCTGGAGCACAGGCTTTGTTGCTCCACGGCATGTGAGATCTTCCTGGACCAGGGATCAAACCTGTGTCTCCTGCATTGGCAGGCGGATTCTTAACCACTGGACCACCAGGGAAGTCCCCTGATGCTAATATATTTTTTAAAATATTTATTTATTTATTTGACTGTGCTGGGTCGCAGTTGCGGCATGTGGGATCTAGTTTCCTGACCAGGAAATCAAACCCAGACCCCCTGCATTGGGGGCATGGCGTCTTAGCCACTGGACCAGCAGGAAGTCCCCTGATGCTAATCTTAAAAGAAGCTGAAAGAAAGTCTTGAGGTGTAGCCTGGGAGATCAGAGAGGTCAGTTTCTTCCCAGCTGGGCAAAGAAAAGGTAGGTGTAAGGCTCTCTGAAGGACTTCTCTGGCCCACCCAGTAAGACAGCAAGAAAATGACATGGAAAGCCACATGGGCGGAATGAAGTTGCTTAGGAAGTGAGCTTCAGTGGAGAAGAGATGAAGTTTAAGGACTAAACTCTGGGGAGAATGAATAGGATCCTGCAGAGGAGTCTGAGACATGAATATCTCATTTAACTCTTACAACTGTCCTCAGAGGTTAAACTTTCATTGTCCTATTTTACAGTTGTGGAAGTTGAGGCTTAGAGTGTTGGCAACTTGTTCAAGGTCCCACACACCTCGGCAGAGCTAGAAGTGACCCTATCTGCTTGAAACTAAAGCCATGCTTTCTCCGCTCCTCCATGCTCTCATTTTTCACGTTCTTATATTAATCTTTGAAAACACAGTGATCAGGGAAGCCATCCCATGGTGTTGAGAAATTCTGAAGTTTTACGTGGGAAAGGAAAAGACATGTAGGTATTAACTCCTGATTGGTAGCGGTTGTGCCTGTGAAGAAGGTGCCAAGGTTGATGAGAAGTGTCTGCCAAGGGCATAGTTCAGAGTGGCCCATGTGCTAGTATCTAAGTCAGAAGCCATGCATGTTGCCAGCGACCCCTGGCATAACTGCTGGTATCATGCCCTTTGTTCTGTAGGTTGCACTAGCAGTGGCCTTGAACTTGAGAACATTCCTCCGGCTTCAGACCCACAGCAATGGGAAAGTGGGCCTCAGCTTACCAAACATTGGCGTTAGGAGGGCCTGGGATGTGGCCAGCCTTCAGCTGCTGGACACCAGCTTTCTGGGTAAGTGCAGGGCGCAGGAACCAGGTTCGGCAAGAGCCTGGGCCCTGAAGAGAAGGAGAAGGAGGACGGCTGGGCCGTCATCCCAGGCTGTCCCCGAGGGACCCAAGGCAAGTCACTCTGGGGGTGTTTTCTCTCCTGTCCCCCATAAGAATAGTTTCACTTATTTATTAATATATTAATTTATTTAGAATTTAAAAGCCTTCTCCACACGCCGACCTTTCCCTTCCGCCCAAGCAAATCTCCACTTTTCATATTTGCTTTATGTGCGTGTCCTGTTTTCACTGATTATGTTTTGGGAAAGGGCACTATTGGGGAAGTAATATGGCCTTTAATTTGTGTGTCTGTGTTTTTAATATTTTGTAGCAATTTTTAAGTTACTGGGCAATCTTTTAAAAATATATCTATATACTTATTTGGCTGCGCTGGGTTCTTAGTTGCAGCACACAGGATATCTAATTGCCGTATGCAGGGTCATTTAGTTGTGACACGTGAACTCTTACTTGCAGCCTGTGGGATCTAGTTCCCTGACCAAGGATCGAATCTGGGCCGCCTGCCCTGGGACCCTGGAATCTTAGCCATTGGACCACCAGGGAAGCCTCGTGGCCTTTAGTTTTGATATTGTACCATGGAGGTCAAACCCAGGCCTCTGAGTGATATGTGTGTGTGTGTACACGTGTATATGCATGTGTGTTTGAAAACTACTAGCAATTAAGCCCTTACTACATGCCAGGAGCTGTGCTAAGGGTTTTCTGTACCTTTTTTATTATCTCTACAACAATCCTGGGAGAAGATAACCCTGTTACCTCTGTTTACCCCTCAGGGAAACTGAGGTGCAGACAGATTAAGTCCCCTACTCAAGGTCAAAAAACCAGTCTTTGGCACAGTCAGGACCCACCCAAACCCAGGCTTGCCTGCCTCACAAGCCTGGAGTCCACCTACAGCCTCAGGTGTGGTGCTCGGACCCTGAGTCCACGTCTGTCCAGATTCTGATGCCTGGAGTGGCTCAGTTGCTTTGTGTTCTGGTGTCTATAAAAGCACCGAGGCCTCCTCATCCCCCCGAGTACACTTGGCTGCCTGTGTGACAGGGCACGGTGACGGTGCGGTGCTCACCCCGGAGCACGTGGAGAAGCTGAAGGAGGTGGCGGGCTTCCCCGAGGACTGCGTGGACCCCGAGCGCCTGGCCGTGCTGGCTTTCCTCTATTTGTACCTGTCTATCTGCCGGGGTCAGAGGTATGTGTGCCGTTGGGGCAGGGAGCCCAGGTACAGCCGCCCCTGAGATTGAGCCCAAGTTTTGGCCGCTAGACAACACATGGGCTGCCTTCCAGGTTCTGAATACCCATCAGCTGTCCTTGCTGCGTTCCAGGCACCATACTGGTGGTTGTTTAGTTGGTGGTTTAGTCACTTAGTTGTGTCCGACTCTTGTGACCCCGTGGACTGTAGCCTGCCAGGCTCCTCTGTGCATGGGATTCTCCAGGCAAGAATACTGGAGTGGGTTGCCATTTCCTTCTCCAGGGGATCTTCCTGACCCAGGAATTGAACCCAGATCTCCTGCATTGTAGGCAGATTCTTTACTGACTGAGTTACAAGGGATGCCCACCTTGCTAGACTCTATATATGTGTGTGTGTATATATATATATGTTCTGCTTTCAATATTCACAGCAACCTCACGAGAAGGACACCCTCTCCATTTTGCACAGGGAGAAATTGGGACCCAGATAGTTAGAGACTTTCTGGGCCACATAGCTAGTTAGTAAGTGCTGAGAGAGGGGAAATCAATTCCATTCTCTTCAGTTCAACACCTGCCTTTTTTTCCCTCATTTGATCTTTTTTTTTCCCCCACTTATTTATATTAGCTGGAGGCTAATTACTTTACAATATTGTAGTGGTTTTTGCCATACAGTGATATGAATCAGCCATGGATTTACATGTGTTCCCCATCCTGAACCCCCCCTCCCACCTCCCTCCCCACAACACCTGCCTTTTTAACTCACAGTGCCTCTGGCCTTTCAGTTCAGTCGAACCAAAGCCAGAGTCCATTCTCGGATCTGCTGGGTAGCTTCTCTG